AACCCAAAGACGTTAATCATAAAAATAAAAACAAAGTTGCAAATGCTTGGAGTAGTCTCGCTGAGTTAACGGGAAAGCCAGTAAAAGAATTAAAAGCCAAAAATTCCTTGTTTTTGTATTACTTTGCTTGTGTTTCAAATAAAAGTATGTTAAACCAAACGCAATAGTCGACACAAGTTCGGTGTCCACCATGCTTGGATATACGTAGCACACTGACCGTGACGCATTCACAAGCGTGTAAACAACTTCCAAACGCCAAACGAGATTTGTGGACGCTTGGGGATTGAAGACGTTTGCCGAGACTTGGCAAGCGTGGAAAGGCACCATTATAATCATGTATGTTACAACAACAACACCAACAAATTAGAAATAGCTTGGTAGCGATCACCTCATTCCCAGGTGTTAGTATCATCCATAAATTCCTTAATATTATAATAACCCTTTTTATACAAACTTAGTTTAATAAAGTTTTTGAAGTTTGAGCAGGTCAAATTTTGTATATTTTCTGGGATTTTGTTGTAAAAGCGTATAATACATACATCGCTCCAAGCATGAATTATTACTGACTAGGTGGAGTCGAATAATTGGTACTTACTAGCTTGTCTGTTCCTAGTATCTACATAATGAAAATCATTTATTTTTGTAAAACTACTTTTATTTTTGTGTACGTACATTACATTTTCATAAGTGTATTGAGATTGCGTGTCCTCATAGCAAAATACCATACGACATTATGCTATGGAAATAGCAAAAGCAAACAAAGTTTAGCCGTTGCAATATTGGTAAGATTTCTAATCTTTTTTACGGCATATGCTGCAGAACTAAGTTAGCTTGCTAGTTTTGATATATGGGGACTTCATGGAAGCTTCGCGTCTTGTGTGATTCCAAGAAAAATTCCCATTTAAAATTAATTACATTAGTATTTAAATGTTTGACATTTGGAGTCATGAATTTCTTACATTTCGTTTTAGCGCCATTTGAATGCAAATTATTAACATTGAACCAATTTACTAATTTAGATATAGTAATCTTGACAAAAGCGCCACTTACCGGGTCCAATTCTAAATTTAAACCATCTAGAGACCTGCTCAAACACACCTTTATATCCTTTGAGGCGGCAACACTCCTGGCTCGCTTTCCACCTCTGAACATACTGGCGGACATGGATGCGAGGGTGTACGACCGGACGCGTGTCCTCCGCCAGAGCGTCGGAAGTGAGCCAGATGTTCGAAGGAGTCAAGTGGCAGGAACGAATTAACGCATTCGTAACGTGGCGCGCTCGCCTCTATAGCGTTATGCGTGCAAACGCGTTGTTGGAGCAATCCTGCCGCACTTTGAAACCCGGATGCATCGAAGAACAGGAAGACTCACCTACAGACTTACACAGATAATGACCGGGCACGGGTGCGTTGGTGATTATTTGTGTAAGATTGGACGGGAAGCGACGGCGAACTGTTTCCACTGCGGTGGGCAGGAACAGGACTCCGCATCCCATACGCGTGGGACCGGGAGCGGACGGTCCTGGTAAGACGGATCGGTCAGAACCTCTCCCTGCCGGCAGTCGTGTCGGCGATGCTGAGCAGGGACTCCGCGTGGAGGGCCGTAGCCACCTTCTGTGAATCCGTTATGATCCAGAAGGAGGCTGCTGAGCGGTGTCAGGAGAGGACAGATCCCGCTCGAAGACGACGCCGCCAAGGCGTTCGTCAGGGCCCTCCCCTTGATGATGGTGTTCCCCTACCAGAAACGGGGCCTCGGGGGTTACGGGCGCTCGGGGCGGGGGCCACGAGCGTCTAGTGATGTAACACCTGAGGAGGACGGTGACTCGAAAGTGGTCTCGAGCACCGTTTTGCGAGGGTGCTGGGGGTAGTAAGGGTAAGTAAGCGTGAGAGGGGCCCCGGTTGCGTTCCGAACGGAGATCCCGGGACCCCTCATATACGCTGATGGAGACCACCGTGGGGTTTTGGCCGGAAACAGAAGGTATTCATCAGGATCTCCCCACGATAAAAAAAAAATAAAAGATGTGTTAGGAAGAGGGCGACCTAGGAGATTTGCATTCTAAATATTATGCACTAGCTGTTCCTCGCGACATCGCCCGCGTGTTATTTGGGGTTTTAGTGTTTTTGCGCGGAACCCTAATTATTTTCTAAAATAAAAGTATCCTAAGTTACTCCTTATGAGATCAGCTATCTGCCAGTGAAATTAGCTATACGAGTATTTTAACGTAACATTTTAACCTATTGGTGTTGCCCAATTGCCATCAATATGTTTATCCCACTATAACTTAGTGCTTTTCAGTTAGGAAAAATTGGGCTATGGTCTTAGGTGCAATAAGTTACATTTCGTCCGTGTTTATCTCGTCTAATAAGTCTCCACTGTAAGACAACAAGTCATGGCAATCCATTTATCGCATCGTGGGTAAGGAATAACGACAATGCAAACATTCATGAGCAAAAACATGAGTGCGTGTAACGTACTAGAGTCTTGCATCAAAAAATAAACCATAATGTGTACAGGTAACATGGTACAAAATAAAAATTTCCAATGGATTTCACGTCTTGTACACGTAACAGACAACGCCTCTTGGTTATCAAAATGTTTATAAACACGGCCGTGTGTTGTTTGGCAAAGCGGAAGCTGTCGTCTACGTAAGACAGATTATGAATGGATTATGTTGTAAGAATACACTTACTACAGCTAATAAACCGTGGTAGCTCAGAAAATAAGCTCTCGTCTTAAATTTTATTAGCGATCAAACCGAGTTTGATCCTCGTCAGCACCTACGAGATTGTTATTTGCAATTTAATGTGGTAGAGTCATGCTGTAGCTTTATTATTAGTATAGTTGTAGCACGAATGGGTGAGCTCGATCAGGAAAGGACTACACTCTCACAGAATACCAGTGTAAAATATCAACTCAATACTGCTATGATTCGTATGGTGAGTGTAGAGAACCGGAGACCCTTTTTACTGGAAACGAGGCATTACATCTTAGTCCTCACGGGTGACAACGCATCTGCATTTTGATTCTTTATTGAGGATAGATGTAGATGTCTATGGGTGACAGCAACCACTTACCATCAGATTGACTGTGTGCTCGTTTGTCAGCCTATATAAAAAAATTGAATGTATGAATGAATGAATTTCTTTATTTTGCAAACATGGATAGTACAGAATATGGTGACAAAGTACAGAATTCCCCAATTTTAATAACAAAATTACATTAACATAAAGGACGTTCTAATAATAATTGGTTGTCATAATTGAAGGCCCATCACGTAATCTGAACTGTTTGTATTTACTTCAGCTTGTTTAAATACATAACTATGTCAATAGTAACCCGCTAACGAGATGACAAAACGCCGATCATTAGCGTAGATGATCGTCACGATAATCGCATTATCACTTGATGTTTTGTAAGTATTATGTATTCGATTTTGTGAGAATCTTCTAAATCAGCAGCGCGTGAAAGTCCTCTGTTGAACTTGGTCCCCTTCCATTTTGAGCAGGATTTTGATTCATCTAGTAAAAATAAGGATCATAATCATTATGACCATCATCATTACAGCCCTTCACAAGTCCACTGCTGAACATAAGCCTCCCCCAAGGAACGCCACAAAGCACGGTTCTGAGCTACCTGCGTCTATCGATTTCCTGCATGTCTTACCAAGTCGTCACTCCATCTAGTGGGGGGGGGGGGGGGGGATCTACACTTCGACTACTGGTACGAGGCTGCCACTCGAGAACCTTTCTTCCCCATCGGCTGTCAGATCTTCGACCTATATGGCTGGTACATTGCCACTTCAGCTTGACTCGACCGTGATAGGACTACGCTCTCACAGAATACCAGCGCAAAAGAGCAGCCTAGTGTGTTTCGTATGGTGCGTGTAGAGAACCTGAGACACTTTTTACTGGATACAAGGCATTCATCTTAGCTCTCTCAGGGGTGACAACGCATCTGTATATTGATTCTTAATCGAGGATAAATGTAGATGTCTATGGCCCACAGTATCCACTTAGCATCAGGTGGAAATTTTCAATTAATTTCCATTCTCAGCCCTCAAAAGTCCACACCAACAGGCTATATTTACATGGGCCTCTCCCATTATTGAGAAGTTTCGTCACGCTTGGCAGAACCAGGCGTCTCGCACCTTTGACGCTGCTGCCCGTCCTTTTGACATGTGCAGAGGCGGTGTAAAAGAATCGCACTATCCCTTATTATCCTATGGGTGCCGTAAGAGACGACAGAGGGAAACTGAAACAGAACATATGGATGTTCCTTACAGCAACTTTTTTTGTATAGGATTGGGTGACAGCACACAGTCCACCTGATGGTAAGTGGTTGCTGTGACCCATAGACATCTCTACATTTATCCTCAATAAATAATCAAAAGGCAGATGCGTCGTCACCCGTGAGGACTAAGATGGAATGTCTCTTTTCCAGTAAAAAGGGTCTCCGGTTCTTTACACTCACCATACGAAACACAGCAGCGTCAAGCTGCGATTTTACGCTGGTATTCTATGAGAGCGTGGTTCTTCCCCGGTCGAGCCGACCCATTCGTGCTACACCTATACTACTAATAAAGCTGCAGCATGGCAACTCAAAATAATAAATAACTGCAGCTGACAACCCGCCTGCCAAGCGTAACAACATTGGCAAAATCCCCCTATGAGGCAATTTAGGGAAATTAGCGATAGATATTACAGTGTATTTCCCGTTTCGAGATTTCGGTTGCACAAGCTGAATGGTCGTACCATTAAATGAACGAAATCTGATTTAGCCTTGAGTAGAGCCATGCTCGACTGGAGAAAAACCACGTTCTCAAGGAACACTAACGTCTATAATAACGTTATGCTGCCGTGTTTCGTAGGTACAGTGACTGACGAGGTCGGAGATCCTCTTTACTGGTCTTTACTGGTGGCATAATACAACGCTTTTGTATTTTGAAGCTTAACTGGGGAGGCAAAAAAGTTACTTATATATTGTGATTGCATCTTTCACAGAATATGAAACCTCTGTACGCTCGCTTGGTACCGTTCGCTGCGGTGTGCGGGGCTAACTTTATCAACATTCCGATGATGAGGAGCAGGTACGTGAGACAGTGTTGTTGACAGTTTCAATGGTCTGCGAATCAGCCTCAGGTTCAAAATCTACGAAGCTCATTTTTTTTTCATTCATTATAAGGCTTCCTCCGTGGATGCCACAGTTTGCAGAGGCGGGTTGGAAACCACAGTTTTGTATCATTTTGAGTTATTGTCAGGTTTCATTTCCCTCTGTCACCCCTTTACGCTAAAATTTGTTATAGACAATTTATATTTTTGAAGACTACATAAATTATACATTTGTTTATAACTTTAGACAGACGAATGAGCCTACAATCCACCTGATAGTACATGGGTATTGGGTATTGCTGTCCATGGACACCGGCGACCCACTTTTATCTTTTACAGATGACAAAAGATGCGTTGCCACTCGAGAGTACTAAAAGGAAATGTCTCACATCATGTAATTATACTCGTTCACTGACTCTTCAAACTGGAACACTGCAGTGGCTCACTGCTGTTTGATTGCAGAAATAGGTAAGAGGATGGCACCACAGTAAGCATTTACAAGTCCACTGCTGAGCATAGGCCTCCCAGAGTTATAGTTTTAAACGTATACGTTACGTTAAGTTACGGATTAAACGAATACGAATGCGACAATCGAGTATTTATTACGATTCATTACTATACATACTTTTATAATAAATTTTGGTTCACAGCTTATTTTTTTCATAAAACATTTGGATACAAGCAATATGCTGAAGGGCGGCAACTTATTTTTTTGTTTGTTTTTTTATATATAAACCTTCCAAATTATAAATTACGAATATTAAATTGATAAAAAATTAATTAGTAAAGTAAAGCTCTTTGTTATATTTCATAAATAAAAGTTTAATTAATAGGAAAAAGCATTCGTATTGTTATTCCTAATCGTAGTACAAATTACGATATACTTGTTATTCGTATCGGTATCGTAATAGCCGTATCGTTTCATTGTTAGGTACTATAAACATTTGAGCCGCTCTGAACTCCGGCATTCTCACATAATATATCATTGCTTGCCGTGTAATTTTATCACTGTAACAGATTGTTGCGGTCGGGTATTTTCAAATAATAGTGTACTTTGTATCCAGTGAGCTGCTCAACGGCACGCCCGTGTTCACGGCGGACGGGCAGCGCGTGGGCGAGTCGAAGCGCGCGGCGCGCCTCGGCATCGGACTCGTCTGCATCTCCAGGGTCCTGATGGCGGTGCCCGGGATGAGTGAGTAGTTTCTACAATTTTCAACACTTCAAAAAGGAGGACATATGATTTTATTTAAAAAGTACTATATATACAACGCAAAGAGTTTGTTCTGTGATACTAGATACTTTACACTTACTATACTTTACTTTAGACGGGCTTTGCAGCCTTAATACATTGCGCACTAAGTTGCGGTTAATTCTCCGTTACTTCTTTAGTCGACTGCGAGCGGACAAGAAGACTAGTTTCTTGTGTTTGTAAACTGCGAACGTTGTGTCCGGCATTACACAGATTTAATTTAACTAAGAAAACGATGTCATTATTTGTGTGCGCACTTTGTCTACGTGATTTGAAGTTTATTTCAGACTAGCTGTTCCCCGCGTCTTCGCTCGCATTTTACTTGGGGTTTTAATTTTTTTTTCGCGAAACCCTAATTCTTTTTCTAAAATAAAAATAGCCTAAGTTACTCCTTGTGACATCAGCTATCTGCCAATGAAAATCCCATCAAAATCGGTCCAGCCGTTTCGGAGATTAGCCTGAACAAACAGACAGACAGACAGACAGACGGACAGACAGACAGACAGACAGAAAAAACTTTAAAAATTGTATTTTTGTTATTAGTACCGTATATACTTTCATATGCATTTAGTAAAAAGCTGTAATTTTGACATTACAAACAGACACTTCAATTTTATTTATTTGTATGTACAGATGAAAACATGTGTGATACTGTACTAATAACAAAAACACAATTTTTAAAATTTTTGTCTGTCTGTCTGTCTGCCTGTCCGTTTGTTCCGGCTAATCTCCAAAACGGCTAGACCGATTTTGACGGGACTTTCACTGGTAGATAGTTCATATTATAAGGAGCTACTAAGGCTACTTATATTTTAGAAAGATATTTAGGGTTCCGTGCAACAAAATTAAAACCCTAAATTACACGCGGGCGAAGTCGCGGGGAACAGCTAGTTTTTAATATGTATATTGTAAGTGTGCATATGAAATAAAATTAAAATAAAAAAATATGAGAAATTCGTGTAGCGATTTTGCCGATTTATATTTACCCAAAACATTAGCAGATTCGTTGATTGTTTGAAGTCGGATTATATAATTTTTAAACCTCGACGCAAACAGAACATGTTAATCTGTGTATCTGTGTGTCTGTCAGTGGCATCTTAGCTCACAAACAGATGAACCGATTTAGATTTTGTTTTTTTTTGTTTGAAAGGTGACTTGATCGAGTCTTCTTAGTCATGATTCAAGAAATATTTTTTAAACCTTTTGTAGATCAACAGCTATTTTGTTTCACGGGGTTTTTAAATTTTCAATTGAAGTTATAAATATTTTAATTTGATATAAATATTAATTTGTAAACCTTCACTATTTTGATTAAATTTGTGGATCGGGTTGCTTTCTAGGCCCCAAAATTGATGTACGTTCAATTTAAAATCCGATGTTCTTATTTAAAAACTAGCTTTCCTTCGCGACTTCGCCCGCTTGGAATTTATTACGATTTCACGGGTTTTAATTTTTTGTGCGGAACCCTAATTTTTTTTTCTGAAATAAAAGTATCCTAAATTACTCCTTATAACATCAGCTATCTGCCAGTGAAAGTCCCGTAACAATCGGTCTAGCCGTTTCGGAGATTAGCCGGCACAAACACAGACAGAAAGCAGACAAAATTTTTAAAAATTGTTGTTTTGTTATTAATACAAAAAACAATTCCAAAGAGAAGTTGTACGAGGAAGAAAACTCCTAGTAAAACGCACAGTGGTGGCCCGTCAAGCATTCAGTTGGTGAGGATGGTATCGTGAATTTTGACGCGTTGTGGGTTCATGAAATATGGCGGCTGAGAATAAACCGAACCTCAGAGCACTACTCGAGGTAGATGCGATAGAAAATGAAAAGGGATGCAACATTCCTACGCAGTGCCAGTCAATCGAGCCGATCAGAAAGAATTCGGACGTTGACGACTCGAACCGCTCTGCGCTGGATGCGGTCAAGTGGAAGGAGCTGACACTAGCGTGCTCCGGCCCAGAGATGAGAGGCCGAATTTGCGTTTTGTAAAGTTGCAAGCGATGTGCCGACATGAAATACTGCCCCGCTATTCTGAGCACGCCAAGCTTTTTAGAGGCCGATTTGGGCTTTATTTCCAAACAAAACTACTATGCACACTATTCAATATGTCGACGCCGAGGATTCCGATGCTAGCTGAGGCAGCAAGGGGAATGCCTTGAAACTGAGGAGATACGACAAAGGGGTTCTAACTACGACCTTGTTACTCCGATCAGCAAGGAAATTGGTGATCCATTAGCACAATTTTTCGGGAAGCCCATAGAAAGGAAGCTTCGAAAGAAGTGCTTTGTGCCAGACCCGATCGAAGGCTTTCGCTATGTCCAAACTAACGGCCAATGCCTCCCCCTTGGCTTCTACTGCCTCCGCCCATCTATGAGTCAGGTAGACCAGAAGATCACCAGCTGATCGACCCCGACGAAAACCGTACTGGCGGTCACTAATCAGCTGGTGATCCTCAAGGTACCTCATGAGCTGGCAGTTTATAATAGAATCCATTATTTTGGAGAACAAGGAGGTGATGGCGATAGGCCTGTAGTTGGACGGGTCTGAGCGGTCGCCTTTTTTAGGGATCGAGTGGACTAAAGCTGTCTTCCATGAATTCAGAACTACGCCTTGGGAGTAGGAGTACTGGAAAAGACGCGTCAAAACCGTTGCAACTCCGGAGCACACGTCTTCAGCACAATGTGAGGAACTCCATCAGGCCCACTCGACTTGCTGACGTCCAGGGAGAAGAGTGCTTTACGAACCGAGCGCTGTGTAAATCGCACATCCGGCATGGAGCACTCACACCGCGGGATGGTCGGTGATGTGTTCCCCCCATCATCTATAGTCAAGTTGGACGCAAAGAGAGAGCTTAAAAGATCGGCTTTCTCCTTTGCGGCGTGGGCCAGTGAGTCGTCCTCTTTGTGCAGAGATGGAAGAGATGGCTGACAGAAGTTCCCTTGGACAGCCTTGGCGAGAGACCAGAATGCACGGGTTCCCGAAAGAAGGCGAACTAGCTTCTTGCCAATTCTTCCGATGTGCTCAGACCTTGCCTTGGCAATGACGCTTTTGAAGGACCTGGAGGCGGAATTATACTTCTTTTTATGTGCGCTGGTGTTTGCATCCCGAGACGTTGATGCGTCAGCCCAGGCCCGGTAGCACTCCCGCTTATAGCGTGATGCTATTTTACAGGAGCGACCAAACCATGGCTGGAATCTGCCTCAGATAGGCACCACAGAGGATGGAATAAAAAGTTCCATACCCTGAAGTACCACATCAGCAACAGAATCGGCAACAACGCTGGGATCTTCTGGTGAGAAGCAGACCCAAGGGTAGGATGTAAAAAAAAAGACCGCATCCCGTCCCAATCGACTGACCTATAGTGCCAAACACGGCGGCAAGCTGCAGATCACAACTGCGATGGGAGCGTGAGTGGCACCGTACTCCGGATCAGACAATGGTCCGAAGAGCTCAGAGGGGCGTCGACGAAGACCTGATATCCGTCCGGATGAGAGGTCAGCAGAAGGTCCAACAGGGAAGGTACATGATCCTCCACATCTGGGATCCGCGTAGGCAAAGTAACCAGTTGTGTTAGACCATATGCCAAGGCAAAGTCATAGACAGATCTACCCGCATGATCGGTTAAACGGGAACCAAGCCATTCAGCGTGGTGGGCGTTAAAATCACCGAGTATCACGATCTCTGCGGATGAGACCTGTTGTAGCACGGAGTCTGCAGCCATTTGGGCGTGGTCGTTAGTCGGTCTGTGTCAGCATTACCGCTATGGGACCTATAGAGGCACCCGTAAACGCGGTGATGGTCGTCGCTGCCTACGCGCAGCCATAGGATGGACAGGTCCGTACCTTCAAGACTGCCGAGGCGTCGAAAACAGATGTCCTCTCTGACGTATACGCAAACCCCAGCCCGAGGCACAAAGGAGTGTTCTAATTTGTACCCCGAGTAGGAGAGGTATGAAGTATCAGTCGGAGAGGACACCTGAGTCTCGGTTAAAAAGAGCAAGGCCGTCTTCGCCGTCTCTAGATGGTAATGGACAGCGTTAAGGTTGGAATAAAGTCCCCTGATTTTTGCAAAAATTCACGGATAGCGTGACAGGGATCGCCTTGGTGTTATTGCTCCGCTTGCCCCGAGCAGTATTAGTCGCGAGCGGAATTTTGCACCCCCTCCCCCAGAATACGCGGGGCAGCCTGAGCACCCACGCTCAGGAGTGGAGTAGTTTGGTCGTGGATGCTCAGCGAGAGATTCTCCCGGGGTGCTGGTACCCTCCTGGGATAGTCTTTTCTTTGATTCCGCTACCATGTTGATGGGGGGGGGGGGGATTAGGCCTCCGGCAACCTGCACTCACCAAGCGCAACGCAGAGGTAAACCTCTACTTCATGCTGGTATTCTGTGAGTTCGTGGTACCACCCCGGTTCGAGCCGGCCCATCCGTGCGACAGCAAAAGCTGCCACGTGGCTCTACCACTGTTAAAAAAAAGATAAAAGGCAAATTAATTTAAGCCTAAGTTAGAATTTCCATCACTAGGTCTACGGTTTTCGTTACTAGCTATTTGAACTAGCATTTTGTAACGTAGAAATTATTTAATTACATTCAATCGAGATTTTACTTCTTCCGTTACCTTAGCCTCCCCATCAACATTCCTCTGTTGGACTGACCGTAATCGCCACCTTTGACTACACACTTGCTGCATATCTTTCCAGAGAGTGTTTAAGATATTGTGACTGACGATCAGCTTACTTCTGCACAGTGGAGTAGCGTGTCTTAGAGGGGCCCTGTATTAAAATGTAACGGGGGGCCCAAATGAAGGGTAAAGATTTTTCACAAAAAGAACAATAACTCTCACATTGAATTAAAATAATTATATATTCATTATAAGTAATTATTTACAATTAATACTCCTACGAAATAAGCTAGCCAAACAATTCAAACCAACATCCTGTTCCATAAAAGTCCTTAGAATTTTTGCTTACACACGTTCGGGGCCTCTGTAGCCCCGGTGCCCCGTATCATTGATACGGCTGATACGGCGGTAGCTACGCCCCTACTTCTGCATATCATTTTATTACAACCTATTAAAAGTCAACTGCTAAACATAGGCCTCCCCCATAAATTATCTCATAGATAGAATTTGCCAAAGTTTTCACGCTTAGCGGGTTAGTAACTGTTTTTGTTTTTTACTTTGAGCTTTTATCAGAAAGATGTTGCCATCTCCTCACATTGCCACCCACGGGATTATATTTTTTTACTATTACAAGCCAGTGCTTGTCTACAAGGGCGTAACTACCGCCGTATCTACCGTATCAATGGTACGGGGCCCCCAGGCTACAGAGGCCCCGAAGGTATGTAAGCAACAATTCTAAGGACTTGTATGGGACAGGATGTTAGTTTGAATTGTTTGGCTAACTTAGTTCCTAGGAGTATTAATTGTAAGTAATAACTTATAATCAATATATTTTAATTCAATATATTATATTAAAATTCTTTTTGTGAAAAATCTTTACTCTTCATTTGGGCCCCCCGACAAATTTTGATACAGGGCCCCTCTAAGGCACGCTACTCCACAGCTTGACTACTATCGTACCTGATGATATCTAAGTGGCGATGCAGCCGAAGATAGTAAAGCGCACTGAATAGCTAATATTATGTGGTATGGGGTTCTCTTAAAACATCACTTCACTACAACATATGACACAAATAAATGAAGATTAATTTATCTTTTCAGCGCTAACCCCTGTAATAACCAACATAGCAACCCGGCGGGGAATGTTCTGCAAATACCCGCTAGCGGTGATACCTTTCCAACTCACGCTCGTCGGCCTGTGTGTCACATTCGCAACGCCATTGTGTTGCGCGCTTTTCGAACAAAAGGCTTCGCTCAGTGTTGCCAGCCTCGAACCGGAGCTGCAGGTAAATCGATTCATTAACACTACTGTAAATAAAAGTTTCTTGATTTATGAGAGTCCAAAACTTAAGTTATACTAATGTTAAACACTAGCTGCTCGCAGTGTAATAAAATGGGGAAACAGGATACCACCTGTTGCGTTCTCTGTCGCACTTAAGGGCCATACGGTTGTGTGCCTGTCGTGAGAACCAGTGAGGCCCATAAGTGCGAGATAGAGCGCAACCCTGTTTCCCCATTTTATTGCACCGCGGGCAGCGAGTGTTTAACATTAGTTTAGATGTTTTGAATTTGTTGTCTATCAAGCCTTACTTTACGTTACTAATGGTCCCCACTCACGGTCAGTTAAACTGACATCAGTTCAACTGATGACTTCAAACGGATTTAATCCAAAAAAACTTCGACACACACGGTCAGTTCAACTGATTATTCCAACTGATCAGTTCAAACTAGGGCTGTTAATATTTTTAAAATATCGGATTTTCAATATATCGATAATTACAAATATATCAATATCGGAGTTTTATAAATCGAAAACATAAGTGATATATCAATGCTTATTTCTTAAAAATGATTTAGACAGTTTATAATTTAGTATATTTATTAAACAAATTAAATTATAAATGAATGAAAATGTTAGGTTATAATTCTTAGTAATTATTAATGAGCCGTGGTAGCTCAGATGGTTAGCGCTCGCTGTAAATTTCACAGTACGCGAGCAAACCGGGTTCGACCCCAGCCGGCACCAATGAAATTGTTAATTGTAATTTTAAGTGCTGATTTACCACGTGCTCGACGATGAAGGAAAACATCGTGAGGAAACCTGCATGTCTGAGAAATAAAATAAAAATTTCAAAAAACGTGAAGTACGCCAACACGCATTGGGCAGCGCGGCGGATGTTGCCCTAAAACTCTCTCAGAAATTAGGAGAGGCCTACCCAGCTGAGGAGTGCCTAGCATTGGGACGTATAAGGCTGTAACTTTAACTTTAATTATTGTTTCATTTAAATAAGACAATTATGTTTACCAATATTTTTCAGTAAGAGTTTTAAAAAATAGTCATTGTTTTATATGTTCAGCTGTTTCAATATTGCGATTATTGGGCACTAAAAGATTGATTATAGAAGTAATTCGTTCAGATGATACGGATGCAGCTGAAGAAATCAAATATTTAACAGCTATTTCTGATAGCACGGAAGTAAATCATAAGACGCCTAAGCTATTAAAATAACTTGAGGCTTATACCAACATCGATGCATGTAAGCTATTAGATCGTTTTCTCTAATAGCTTACATGCGCAGACACTTAATACACATAATCGCATCACTTTGATAAAAATCCACTTCAAACGATTATTTAAACGATAAAACAGGAGCAACTATCCGTCGATGATCAAGCTCCTGCCAAAACTTACAGTAAGTAAAGTAGTACTAAGTTTAATAGATTATAGTGATTTTAATATCACAGAGATATACTATACAAGATTACATTTCTTTTTAAGATAATTAGCAAATAAATAAACTGGGGAAAAATGAAAAACATAATATAGTGTAAATAAAGTATAGTAGATTGGGTCCATCAAGGATTAGGATTTAAGTTTACGATGGTGTTGTAGATTAAATTATTTACGTGAAAAAATAAAATATTAAATTATTTAAAAAAATATATCGACTGTCTTATATGTATATTTCAATATCAAACTATTATTTCAATATATGTCGTCCAAAAATATTAGAAATAAATATCGATATTTCTAAATAATAAAATAAATTTTTCGATATATCGATATTTTGTCAACAGCCCTAGTTCAAACGTGGGGCGTGGCCGTGGGCGTTTGGTTTGCGTGACTCCTATAAAATATTATATATATAGATAAATTAAATGATATTTAATAATATCTAAATCTTATTTTATATCATTTCCTGTATATTAATATATATCTATACAAATAAATAAAATTGAAGTGTCTGTTTGTATTGTCAAAATAACAGTTTTTACTAAATACATATTATGAAAGTACATACGGTACTTATAACAAAAACACAATTTTTAAAATTTTTGTCTGTCTTTCTGTATGTCCCGGCTAATCTCCGAATCGGCTGAACCAATTTTGACGAGACGTTCAGTGGCAGATAGCTGATATTATAAGGAGGAACTTAGGCTACTTTTAATTTAGAAAAAGAATTAGGGTTCCGCGCAAAAACATTAAAACCCATGAAATCCGATCGTAATAAATTACACACGGGCGAAGTCGCGGGGAACAGCTAGTTAATAGATAGGAAATTATATTTTTAATTTATAGGAGTCACGCCAACTAAACGCGCACGGCAGCGGCCCCTTCGATCGAGAAATGAAATCGGTTCCGTATATACAGGGTATTTTTGGAACGCTCCCGAAAACTAAGACAGGCGACAGCACCAAGTATACCTTTGATCATGGGTCATAAATAAATTTGATCCTGATGAAAAAAAAAACATATTTTTACAACGTTTTATTAGCTTTATTCACGCGTCATCATGTTAGTACAGCTAAATGAAACGATAATTTCATAAAAAAAATCATGAAAAGACTGAAACATAAAACCAGCAGTGGAAACTGAATTGATATCACCTGACTAATGGAGGTTAATGTACGCGCGAACGGTGAAAAAAGAACGCTGGCCTTGAACTTGGGCACTGAGCGATTTATCACATATTGGCCAGTATTACTGTGCCTGCATGCTATTGGTTCCCGCGCTTTGTTCGCTCCAAAAATACAGTCGCATACACAGCTTACTTTGCGACTCGCGACGATGTTTTAAAAAGGAAGGAAAAAAAATTATTTATATCTATTGTTTTATGACTAAACTAGTGAACAAAAAGGTAAATATGATAGGAGAAGGTGAATGGGGAAAATTGTGCAGTAAAGTTAAAATTGTTGAGGAAGAATACCGAAAAAATTACCATGTGATCGACCTGATGACGGAAGCTCAAGCGAAGATGAAAGTAATGATGAAGTAGCATCCAGTAACACCAACACACCATCAACATCTGGCTTCCATGTGACCCAAGACGTCATAATGGACGGCGTGTCACCCTTAGCTTAAGTTTCTTTGTTACAAACTACTTTATATTTTACGATAGAAATAACAAACAATGCTCAAGTAAACATTATCTATTTTTAATTCCCACCTCTTCCAAAGTTCTAAGTAGCTAGTAAAACACCTATTATGATTCTACAATAAAACAATTAATTACTATAATATTATAAAACAATAGCCCAATACCATGTAGTACTTTAGAACGCGACTGTACCCACACTCACTCGAAAAAAGGGCGCATGTAACAATTTTCGAATAAATGAGTTAAATATACCATTCGACTCATGATAAGAAGACGCATCTACTAAATTTTTTTAATATTCACTAATATCAATATTTTAGAAATTATCGTCAGAATTTTAGACGTAGCTGTTGATCACAGATGACATTTTATTAGTAGAAAAGACTTATACAAATTCAACATAAAAGAAAAGACTTATTTAACCAGTTGCTACGTCATCTTTAACAATATTTGCATCGATTACTTAAATTTAAATTATTCTTGTCTTATTATTTTATATCTTATTATTAAGAGCTTATATCTTATTATTAAGAGCTGGTGTTTCACATGTGGTCCCATATAAATTTGATCGAGGTCAGACCAATAGTTTTTGAGTTATCCTTAATTATTTATATTAAAAGTCGGTTGTACAAATGTTTTAATTTTTAATTATTATCGTAGTAAGTCTTGTATGATATCCCCTTTAAAATCATTACTCAAGAGTTGCGGGTTGTTATTTTTTGTGTCTCACTACTAATGCTTTTCTAATATTTACTAAGAAAAAAGTAGTAAATTACTATTAGCGTCCTCTCAACTTCAAATGACCTTTCCAAAATATGTAAAAATGTTAAATGAATGGTAGTTTTGTTTTATTTATTAGGTTGGGAAGACCCAAATAGTTATATGCGTCTTTCCTTCGATGTTTTTGTGTTGCCAGGTGTATTTTTTAATCTAAGATGAAAAGGAAAATTCGTTTTATTTAAATAAATAAACAAATTTAAAAAAAAATAAGTTCGTCCTTAAAATCTTCATGTCTCTACGTATATATTTCAATATAGATACCTTTTAATATACTTTAGACACGGGGTCTGAAAGAAAAATTCATCGATTTATTTTTTATTTCCATTTTACGTTTTTGTTAGTTACTTCCTTTTTTATTATGACGGCAGAATGCCTAACCCTGTCGCCTCACGCTTGTGACGCAGTTCGTTCGTTTTAGTTTTTGAGACAGTTGATTTTGTACACGCGTGCGCGAGCGACAGTTCAATCGTTTTGTTTAATAAATTTACTTGTGATTACGTGTTGATATTAAAGTTTTTGTTACGTTTTTGGATTCTTTTTTGTTTTAATAATGCCTAACGCGTACGTTTATAGTGGTTATTATACTGCCGTTGGTTATTATATCAGCAACAACGTGTGCCTGGTTCCATTGAGCACATTATCTGGACGGATGAGTCGACATTTACCAGAAACGGCCTGTGGAACCGAAGAAATACACACGTGTATTCAGAGGTTAACCCGCACGCTGTTCGACAAACCGGGCACCAAACCCGATGGTCGGTTAACGTATGGACAGGTTTATTTAAGGATCGCATACTGGGACCAGTGTTTCTGCCAGAGCGACTGAACGGACAGCGATACCTAAACTTTATAATTGAACAGTTGGTTGACATTTTAAACGACCTATCGTTGGCTGAATATCGCCGCACATAGTTCCAACATGATGGTGCCCCTCCACATTTCGTGAGGTTCGTCCGTGAGCGCCTCAATGAGCTATTTGATGATCGCTGGATCGGCAGACTAGGACCACACGCTTGCCCACCTCGCTCACCAGATCTGACTCCGTTAGACTTCTTTTTGTGGGGTATGTGAAAGAAAGGGTTTTTAATCGTGAATGTGATAGTGCTGAAGAAATGCGCCAAAGGATCGTGGATGCTTTCGAGAAACTACGTACGGACTGTGTCGAAGACCACACGATGATGCCCCGCCTGCACCCAAGTCTGCCTTGAAATGAATGGAGCACAATTTGAGCCGCATCTCATAAGACCACGGAGGATTTAGAGCAGTAAGCTGTTTCATAACTATTTTTTTTTTAAAAACTTAGTACTAGACTAATCTGAATAGGTACATAACTGAATACACGAGAATAATAAACATACCTACACGATGAATAAAAACGCATGACTCAAACCTTGGTTACATTTCATTTAAGTATTTCTTCATTAGCGGGGAATCGAACCAGTTATTTGGGTTATTTAACCTGTAAATTCGGATTAAAGTGGCTACGTGGAGATAAGCACAGTGGCAAAATAGTAGGTTAAGTAGATAAGTTAGGTATTTAGACACGTGTTGTAAATTATTAGGTATTGTGGGAAGGCCCGCTAGTTGCGGGCCGCGCGAATTTGTGTTCGCGCGTACATTGACCTTTATCTAGCTCAGGTCAGGTGATATCAATTCAGTCATTCCACTGCTGGTTTTATGTTTCAGTATTTTCATGATATTTTTTATGAAATTATCGTTTCATTTAGCTGTACTAACATGATGGCGCGTGAATAAAGCTAATAAAACCTTGTAAAAAGATGATTTTTTTTTCATCAGGATCGAATTTATTTGTGACCCATGATCAAAGGTATACTTGGTGTTGTCGCCTGTCTTAGTTTTCGGGAGCGTTCCAAAAACACCCTGTATATACATATAAATATCGTTTCCTATATATTAACACTTTAAAAGATATTTTTATTCATGATAAGGTCAGTATTAAGACACTTTTAATAAATGGGTCAGATATTATGATAATTTTATTCATTATGGTAAATTTTATTTTTTTAATAAATGTATTATTTCACTTTATTCTATATCTATTATCACTGAGATCCTTCACCCACCTTCTGAGTCCACCATAAGGAAGGTGACATCATTACAATCACCTTAGTCTCCATTCTCCGTCAAAACAACTTCTCTAAATATGTAAAATAATATAAAATCTAAACAGCATACAAATAATGTAAGTAGCTGCTAAGAAAGTATGTACTTACCAATAATGAAAATGAACTGAAGCCAGCGGATTACGGTGCGCCCGGAATAATAGTGGATTGCCGTCAGTTAAAAATTTTAACTTAAGATTTCACATTCACGATCAGTTTTTGGATGTACGTCAGTTCGACTGAACAGTTTAACTGACAGCACGCCCGAAAAAATCCGTGTGTTGCCTTCAGTTAAAAATTTCAACTTAAGATTTCGCATTCACGGTCAGTTTTTGGATGTACATCAGTTAAACTGTTCAGTTTAACTGACCGTGAGTGGCCACCATTAGTTTTCAGTCATTAATTCATATGTTTTTATAATTTACTGATATATTTTTGACATAGAAGAAATCAAATTGTGACTACTTTTATTTCATTACAGGAGGTTGTGAAGAAGAAATATCCTAAAGTAAAAGAGGTATATTTCAACAAAGGACTATAAATTATAGTATTTATAATACTTTATTCCGGTTGAAGTGTATCGCATCTTAAATACGATTCCCACTCCACATCTATGAAGTCTTATTTTTGCGTTGTAGACATCGATCACTAAAAAAATGTAGATATTATTGTTTAGGAGAGTTTTTACTCAAGTAGCGAAATAATTATGGAATTGAAAATCTTGTTTTGTGTAAAGAACTTGTTATTTCGCATTTAATGTGAAATTTTGTTGTATTTTATATTGCTAATGACGTTCCAAATGATATTATTGTTGTGTTCTGAAGTAAAGCGACTCTATACTTAATTTTTAGTGAATTTTAGCAATAAATGTGTTGTAGATTAATTTTTAGATTTACAATATTTTTACTCTCGCATTGCGTTTGATATATTTTCCAAAGACTAGTACATTCCTATATGTGATTTCTGCTGTGGCTATATCTAAATAACAGAGTTAGGCAAAGCCTTTTTTAAATATGTGTTCCAATATTTCTAAGTTGGTTCCTAAGACTTGAACATTCCATAATGTGTTTTATGTCGTTGTTTCATTTTTTACAAGTTGTTTGTTTAATATTTCTTATTTTATAACGTTGAATTGTACTTTTGTATGTTAATTTTCAAACTTTTAAGCTGGCTTTTCACTATGGGATATAGTATATATATATTATATCCGGAAATATAAATTATATCGGCTTTCACACTGAGATATATGTATCTTTTAACCAGTGTGCGTTTGTCATTGGTCATCGGATTACCCCCTGTACCCCGCGCAGCGTTCTGCGACGGCGCGGAACGATGTGCGGGATACAGGGGACGAAATATAATATGAAAATATCGCTCGGTCGATCCAAAAAATATTTATAGTTTGAGATGTAACATATATATTATATTATATCCCATAGTGAAATGCGGGCTTTAGGTTGTGAGTGCATATTGATCTGACCTTATAATTAGGTAAATTATTTATTATTAACAAAATACGTTTACTTTCACTTGTACGTATATTGAATTATATAAATCTCATTACTCTGTTTTATAATGCTTAATGAAAAGCATGAACCGTTAAAATACATATTAATTATATAATTATACAGTATAATTTTTATTTACTTTCAGTTGTCGAACTTTGTAACTAGGCAATAATTTTAATGTTTACACTACATCGTCAATTGTTGCGGTCTACGTTCTTGACGAGAATATTTGTTTATCGTTCTTGAAGAGCCACTTCCACTTTTTCATTTTAATAACATTGTTAAGCATGGGTTCGAAACAGAAAACAGTGTTTAATAATGCAACATTTGTTTCTTTAAATTTCTTACCCGTTCATGACGCACGGAAATAAGCAAGTTATTTCTAATAATCTCATGTATCTCGTCCAAAATGTGAATGGCTATATATATTATGTAGTTATATATTATATTAACCTTTGACAATAATTTATTGTGAAGTGTATCTAAAGCTTAAGAGTAGCTGGCTGTGCATTACACAAGTTCGAAAACAAATGTACAAAATAAATATTGTGCTATAGAATAATTGTTATTTTCTTGCTTCAAGAGAAATTCAACGCATCTAAAACCCAAACGTGGCATCTTTCCGAAATGTGTCACCGGCACCGGAATACAACGACCACCTTCAGTTGTTGGGGATTAAGATTTCCTCAAACCTGAACTTTGGACGGTTCATTGGAGTCCAACTCCAAAGCAGCCACAAGGTAAACTAGGTATCCTAGCAAGGATGCGGCGGTACTTCACGCCGGGCAGCTTCTTACCTTATATGAAGCACAGCACATGTCCTATCGTGCATGGAGTAGAGTACTGCTATCACATATGGGTTGGCGCTGGCAAAATGCCACCTAGCAGAGTTGGACTCCGTGGATAGACGTGCTAAGAGCCTTATTGGCGACCTTGATTTGGTTGAAACCAATTTTGTCAGACTCTCGGTATTCCGCGTTTCTTGTGACGCTAAGACAGTGCGGTTTATCATCTAGTGCTTCATCGTCACTTACCATCAGATGGGATTGTGGTGAAGTATAATAAGTAAAACAGAATAATTGAATAAAACTACTGAAGAAATTTACTGATTTTATATTCTATGTTATATTCAATGTGTAGTGTTCGCGTAAATATAAGAAATCATTAAAAAATATATCATGCGTAGTTTGCGAACGCTGATAAACAAATGCATAGGAAACCAAGGTTTATTTTTGCTCCAAGCCCGACCATTTATTTGAGCGACGGCGCGCAAGAACTACTGTAGAAGTGAGTCAGTAAGCAGTTCAATACGAATAGAACCAATCATGTTACAGTTATTGTTCGTACGTAAAATGTTATGCAATACAGTTTAGTGCAACTGGTGATAACAGAAGATTTAGTAGATTTACCCTAAACTCACGCTTTTTTTTTAGTAAGGCTAATATCCGAACATAAATCTCCGCGAATTATGCAACCGCATTTTAATGTATTTGTTGCTGATATTTTTTAATATGTGCTTTCGTATTTTTGTAAAGTTAACAGAATTTGTGTTTCTTTTTTATTATTCTAAATTTACCAAAAAAATTGGGTAGCTGGGTAATTCTAATTAAACTGAGGTAAACACAAGTTTGCTAGTTCTTTTGTCATTGCCCAATATTAGGGATTAGCACATAAACTTTTTTCTTTATAAAACTTAAGTGACGAACGTACAGTTCACTTGATGGTAAATGGCTACTTCAGTCCTTTGACAGTTGTAGCCAACATCAAACAAAAAAGGCTGTGGAGTCTGTAATCATACTGTCTCTCTGTACATACAAAAGTACTCTGTGTCTATAACACTCTTGTATGGAGTGTAGAGTATAAGGAGGACCATCTCTATATACGAAAAGTGTCCCTAAAGACGCGTCCAATAAGGGTGGCGCTGTAGTAGCATAGGATAAATTTAAAAAAAAGCGCCAAAATTAATTAGATTAAGATGGAGAAATAAACAAGGACCAACCAATCCGCTTGGTTTTGTACTACGTAAATAGTTGAGTTTTTGTATACTGACATTTTACTAACTACTATAGTCATGAAATTTTTTAAATATTTGAATTCAGCTGACTTCACTCCGTTTACAATAGCTATCTTCATATCGTAGTTTTTCAGACGCCAGCGCTATTGTGGTAGGTTTTGGAACCTCTATTTTCAGTATATAGTGGGACACTTTTTCAACTTTAGCACCTTATAAGATGGTTCTCCTTCTACTCTACACTCCATAACTCTTGGTAGAGAGTAATTGTGTTCTGTGATTCAGACGGGTGATCCAACTTTGTATGAAAGCTGAAAAATCTGCACACAATCATGATTTTGTCAATGGCCGTGTTGGGCTTGTAAAAATAAAGCGAGAAAAAATACCGCTGTTTCTTTCCTTCATGTTTTAGATTGCCATTTTAAAAATTAGATACACAAATTCTTATTATATCGGAAGAAACTAAAAATGTTAATTCTGTATTAAGTTAAAGTATAATAACATTCATGTTACTCTGAGATTTGCACAATTAATTTACCTATTAATTAAAATTGAAATTCATTTAAATTGAATTATTTAATATTAGCAGAATTCTATCAAAAGAAGTCATGATATAATAGAAAAAGAAAAAAATGACATTTGTTTGTCAACGTCTTTCATATTGAAGATATTTTCTGAAATTTATTAAAAATTAGGTCATAGGTTTAGTTTTAAATATTTATTATTGATTTCTGCTTAAATTCAGTTATTATGGACTTCATTTTCGTATGTAGGTGAATACACAGTCATAATATCGTCGTGAATATACAGTAAAGATTTTTTGTGAGATGTTAACTCTGTGTAAGATTTTGAATATAAATGAATTCATTATTTCAAAGTTTTATGCACGCTTTGTAATCTTCATCGAAAGTAAGTTAAGTGTTGTGCATATAAAAAGCACAAAATCATCTGATCACTGTCTGCAGGTTTCCTATGATAGGAAAAGAAAAACTTATGACAATATTGTGGTAAGTCTATAAACATTTTGAATTTATTGGCCGTTATTAGTAGGAATTATTACTATATTGACTCGAATTGTATCTGTTTCAGATCATGTATTTGGGCTGTGTTAAGTTTACATCATGAGAATTTTGCTTATTTAAATATCCCCGAAACTCTTCACCGCTGCATTGGAAGACGTTTTCAAGCTTCTGGACTGGAAAGGATACGGTATCAACATCAATGGCGAGTACATCACTCACCTTCGATTTGCCGACGATATAGTCCTTATGGCAGAATCGCTGGAGGACCTAAGCACTATGCTCAATGACCTCAATAGTGTTTCCCAACGGATAGGTCTTAAGATGAACATGGACAAAACAAAGATCATGTTTAATGTCCATGTCACACCTATGCCGGTAGTTGTTGGGAGCACTAAGCTCGAAGTTGTTGACGAGTATGTTTACCTGGGACAAATAGTCCGACTAGGTAAGTCCAACTTCGACCGAGAGGTCAATCGACGGATTCAACTCGGCTGGGCAGCGTTTGGGAAGCTACGACACATCTTCTCGTCAGACATACCTCAAAACCTTAAAACGAAATTGTACAACCAGTGCGTGTTGCCAGTGATGACTTACGGAACTGAGACGTGGTCCTTCACTGCTGGCCGTATGAGGAAGCTCAAGGTCGCTCAGCGAGCTATGGAGAGGGCTATGCTCGGAGTTTCTCTGCGTGATAAACTTAGGAATGAGGATATCCGCAGTAGAACCAGAGTGACCGACATAGCCCAACGGATTAGTAAGCTGAAGTGGCAGTGGGCCGGCCATATAGCTCGAAGAACCGACAACCGATGGGGAAGAAAGGTTCTCGAGTGGCAGCCTCGTACCGGTAGGCGAAGTGTAGGGCGTCCCCCCACGAGATGGAGTGACGACCTGGTAAGACATGCAGGAAGTCGATGGATGCAGGTGGCTCAGGACCGTGCTTTGTGGCATTCTTTGGGGGAGGCCTATGTTCAGCAGTGGACTTGTGAAGGGCTGTAATGAT